ATTTTAAGAATATTCATCTTAAAATAATTAAGAATATTCATCTTAAAATAAAACCTCAACAATAACAACATCTACATATTAATAAAAGAATTTACAATCTTTAGTTTAGAAAAAAAAAAAGAGTCAAAATTCAGAAGAGGAACAAAAGAATGTACAAGAAAATTAACTTAAAATGATCTTCACCAGGGGGTAACTTATCCACTGTTAATTAAAATTGATCCTTCACTTGTAAAAGTTTTCGCGTTCACATTCCTCCTTCCTTTTTGGTCTTAAAATTGTGCTTTGAGCTTGAGATCCCTCTAAAGGAGGGAACTAAGTACCATCCAATTGAAGTACACAATATTGCAAAAGACCTTCCATAAATAGCTAATAAAATCAATATCAATATCATTGTCATTAGCAAGTAATTATATTGAGGCAACGTTCTCTTGGATTCTGCTTTAGGTTCTTGATCTTCATTTGCTATTTCCTTTGAATTGTTCAGTGTCTTTTGAGTATCATTTGTGGTTTGTCTTTTCTTGACAATTACAATGGTCTTGCATTCATTGGAATTAGAAAAAACAAAACGAACCAAAGAGATATCATCACTGTCCAAGCCCATTTGGGTGTAAATCTTTTGTTTCTTTTCCTCCAGATCAGCCAAAAGTGCAGAAAACTTATCAAGGCCCCTGTTTGCATATGGGTTTCTCTTTTTTCTGGTTCTTGACAAGAACTTCCTCTTGGTGTTTTTGGTAGTTGAGGAAGGACTCAACAAATTAGTTTCATCAATATCATTGTCTTTGAGATGATGATGAAAATTTCCACAGATTAACCGTTTGAACATGTTGATAGAAAATTGGGATATACGAATTCAGGATTGTTTGGACAGGGAATGAAATATGAATGTTGTTTTGGTCGACTTTTAGTGTGGGATTCAACCGAGGAAAAAAGGATGAATTATAGCTTATTTAAGTACATAGTCAATTTGGAATATTTTGATCCAAACGAGAATAGTCAATTCATAAACAATTCCGCAGAAGCTTCTTTGAGGATTTTAGTTGACATCCAAATTCTTGCAAGGGAGGTTAACTCCCAAGTAATGTCGTACTAATGAAATAAAATAGTAATGTAGACTAGGGCACACGAGTTGGCTCTGGGCGTTTGATGTAAAAAAACGTATGGTCAAATAGCATAGCCACATATTCAGCTTTTGCAATGTCCCACTTCAAATGTGTTTTACACATTTGGTATTATCTTAAAAAGGTTAAGCTACACAAACCTATAACGCCACAACGGAGGGATTTGTTGAAGCTGGTCCAGAATTGGCAGGCTTCCTAGGAAGAGGTGTAACGATCATACCAGCCCAATCCGACCAACTTTTACCCAGCTTTAATAATATGTACTTTCTCCGTTTCAATTTATGTAAACTTATTTCTTATTAGTTCATGTCAAAAAAATGACATTTTTCTTTATTTGGAAACAATTTACCTTTATGCAATTATTTATAACCACACAAAATATATGTGCCTTATTTTACACCACAAGTTCAAAAGTCTTCTCTTTTTTCTTAAACTCCGTGTTCAATCAAATGAGTTCACATAAATTGAAACGGAGGGAGTATTATTTTCTTATGAACTGGTTAATTATCAAAAGACTTTTTTTCTTTTGCTATGGTCATATATAACATATCAAATAAAAAAAAGTTATTTTAAAGATATTTTAGCAAAGTTACTCATTATTCCATTTGGCTAAAAACCAGCTGAACCTTAGATGAGCTCAAATGGGTTGAGTCAAGATAAGTTGAGTTCAACAAATAAGTGGGTCAATGACCAACCCAACTTTGAACGAACTGGATAGATCAAATGGATTTGGGCTCGAATTGCCAACCCTATAAAAATCCATGCACTAAATAATTAAACCACAAATATAGCCGAGACAAAAAAAAAAAAAAAAAAAAAAAAAAATAGGAAATCTAAATTAAAGTATTGTATACCGCCATACAGGGCAAAGGCCGAGGGTATATAAGCTCGGGAGGGTCAACTTGTAGAGCATCGAAGAATATGAGTGGAGAGTGATTAATCAAAAGATTTCTTTGAACTCAAGCTATGATGGATAACCTGGAAAGTCAAGAGCGGTCGGAAATTAGAGGCAAGAACGACTTTTTCTAATAAGTGAAACATGTCTCAAGTTCTAAAATAGACGGGACTACCCTTAAGGGTAGAGCGTCATTGGCCCCCGGAAAATTTGGAAAAACTATATATATATATATATATATATATATATATTTTAAATAACATGTATATGACACCCTAAGACTCAAATCTTAGGTAGTTATAAACTTGACTTTTAGTATGCTGTTTAGGTTCGATTTTTACTCCATCATTTACTTAAAATTTTATTCTACAATGGTGGCCCCTCCAATTTCAAATCCTGGGGCTACCTCTAAGTATAAGTGTCTTGGCAAAAGTTGTAGTTCGTGAAATCTAGTTTCTAATGCATCAATATGTTCATCATTTGAACTTTACTTTCTCCTAGGGGTGGGCGCTCACGAGTTTAGATTGAATATGAAAATTTTGGTTTGGATATTCAATTTTCTAATTAAATAAATGCCAATCCAAATCCAATCCAAATAAGTTCAGATTGGATCGGATTTTTTAAGTTCGATTTTAGATTAATCGGTTTGGATATTTCGAATTTTCGATTTTGAGACTATAAATTTGGATGTTTCTTCTTTTTCCAAAAATAAACACCTAAATAAAGTTTTCATGTTAAATTACCTAAAAAGTTCCTCTTTCTCACTGCAATCATCCAAATAAAGTATTCAAATAATGAAATCATTATCAAGAAAATACAATAAAGGCATTAATAAGGTCGATAAAAAGTAACAATAGTAAAATTATGTCAAAATAAAAAGTATTCTAACAGTAACTTAGTAATTAATATTGAAGATATGAGATAATGTCTAGTGGGTCGGGGATTAGATTTATTACTATTGGCACATGGATAATGAACTAAATATAAGTATAAAAATTTTGAATTTTCGAATATCCACAAATCTGAAATATCAAATCCAATATCCAATCCGAAATCAAAAAAGTTTAAAAACTAAATCCGAAATCCAATCCGTAATCCTAAAATCCAAACCAAAAATCTAAAAAATTAGTATTTTGGTTTGGATATCGAGTCTGCCCAAACTATATCCGCTCCTACTTTCTCCTGCGACCCAAGCAAAAGGATTTCTATTTAGTTTATTAATTTTACGGGAAATGGAAGTACTCAAGCTAAATCAAATGCACCTAGAGAATGGCTACTGACCAGTGATCTTGCAAGACCCTAGACTGATCACTCTGAGTCCCTCCGTCTAATGCCCTGACTCTCAGTCTCAATCAAGCAAGAAAAAAATCCTTTTAGCTCATAAGTATAGACCTCCTCCCTCTGCTCCTTACCCAATAGATCACTTAGATTAGACCGAATCAAAACCGTTAAGCATTGTGTAATCATCCCAGACACCACGTCATGGCCCTTTTATCAAGTTCGCACTGTGCAAGATTTCGACAGCCATTGAGCAAGATTTATTCACTGTTTAACTTCGGCCAGCTTTGTTTCAAGTGTATTTTTATCCCAACTAACTTAGTGTTATTTCCTAATGGGTGTAGGACCTTAAGATCACTGTAAATAGTCTTTTTTGGTTATTAAGGAAAGATTTTGTAGATGAATATGTGTATCGGTAGCTTTGAGACTTGTGGGCACCTTTGAGGTTTTCTTTGGGGATCGAACTTGCCCTTTTTGTTCTACTTTGAACTAAAGCTTAACTTTTTTAAATGATGAAATTCCTTGTTTGAGTTTCCTCCTTCCGATTCTTTTTCTTTTACTTTGAGTTTATTCGGTTCCTTATTTTAGTTCGCCATCATTTGCGACAGTGAGCATCCTGGACCACCAACAACTTGATGCTGTAGAAGCATTGGAAATAACAATAAATTAAAGCTGCTCCTTTTTCGACTACCATCACCGCTAAGTATTGTTTACCCGAAATATGGTACAATTGAATTTGTTCGTTGTTTCTAGACAAATGAATCAAGTTGATCCCAAAAGATAATGAATTTATCGATTTAAATATAAGATACTTAGTGTATATTATTAAAATAGAGTTTGCCCTTTGTCTGATTAATCGAGACTCGAACATAATTGGACAAGGTTCGGACTCGTGTAATATCGAACCATGATGCGAAGTTAGATTGCCAAGCTCGAGACCCAGAGACCGATCAAGATCGAAATCGGCCAAGATCGAGACCAAGCTAAAAAGAGACCGATCAAGATCGAGATCGGCCAAGATCAAGACCAAACAAAATAGAGATCGAGCGAGATCGAGGAAGGTTTATCGAGCCAAAAGACAGAAAATCGGAATATCCGTAATGAGGCAAGAATCACGGCGGAAATCCCGGCGCATATCAAGGAAAGGCTAATTAATTAATCTATCATGGGATTTCTTACTATATATAAAATTATATTAAGAGTAGGACTTCCCTACTATATAAAGGGGATCTGATCATTTGTATACACCACGTTCACATAATACAAAGCAACACACTGCCTTCTTTCACCCTTCAATATTTTGTTACTTTGATCATACATTAGTAGAATATTCGCTTGGTTCGAGGGTGACCTAACGCGAAGGCCAAGGTCAATTGATCCGTTTGGTTTGCATTTATCTCTTTTATAGTTAATTTCAATATTAATTTATATATTTTTTCAATTTGTACCAATTTATACTACGTATTCTTAGAGACGCATATAAATTTGATTGTTATCCGTTTTTCGGGTAAATAGTTTAGCGTCCACCGTGGAGCTAAAAATAATAGTGGTTATTTGATACAAATCTCTCTAAAACACACTATTTTATACTTGCTCTTCAAAGTATCTTTGATTTCAGGCTAAAGATGACGAACTCCCAATTACTACCCCTGCATATCGATAACAGATCTGGCCATCAAGGTGAGAATAACAACGTGACGCCCGGGGACGAAAAGCCACCCGTTGACCCCGTTGGGACTCCGGCAGTGGATCCAATTGGCCTTAATTCGCATGTGGCCATCGACGCGAACCAGCATACTGGTCTCGAAATACCCAAAATATCCTAAATACCCAAAATATCTGATCTGCAGTCCGAAATACCCAAAATATCGGAGAAGATGGGATCAGACTATGTATGATTTTCGAAATGCTGCAAGCAACAGGTGGCGATAGCTCAGTTGCAAAGACAAACCCAGGCACTAAGCAGGGCTGACCCTGGTCCACCCCAGGAAGTCACCCACAGAACTAGGCCAACCGTAGTGAAGTCAAATGAGCAAGAATCGGGGACTAACCCCAAAATTATAAAAATGCTCGAAGAGCTGACAAGGGTGATATAGTAAAGGGAAAAGAAGATCGAAGCAAACGATAAAAAGGTTGAAACCTATAATTCCTGGGGTAGACCAAATCCCTGGGGCACCCCCGATACTGAAGGGAAACGATTCAAAGAAGTTCGTGCAAAACCCTTTTCCTCCGAGTGCGGCCCCAAAATCGATCCCTAAAAAGTTTCGTATGCCCGAAACACCAAAGTACAATGTAACGACAGATCTAAACGAGCACGTAACCTCTTATACATGCGCTATCAAAGGGAATGATTTGGAAAACGACGAGATTGAGTCTGTTTTACTGAAAAATAATTAGGAAGACCCTGTCAAAGGGAGCGATGATATGGTACCATAATTTACCACCTAATTCTATCGATTCTTTTGCCATACTTACAGATTCTTTTGCAAAAGCACATGCCGGAGCCATAAAGGTCGAGACTAGGAAGCCGACCCTTTTCAAGGCAAGGCAGAAAGATAACGAGATTCTCAAAGAGTTTGTATCTCGTTTCCA